CAGATTTAATAATAATTATTATTAAGATAAACTTATATCTCATCTTAAAATTTGAGTTTAACTTTCAAAAATCAACTTATAGAATAATATTATGGTATGCTTATATATACTGAATAAAGAAAATATGAGAGTTACGATTATATATCCCTTAAAAAGAACAATATTTTGTTGCAATCTTTAGAAATATCTAAAATTTTGATCACATCACTCTCTATTATTGTTGAGAGTAAAAAAAAAAAAAAAGAATTGGACAGAGATAATATATTGTGTGAATAATATCACCACAACAACTTGACCAACATTTTTGTTTCCATGTGATGATCATGCTACCTCTTAACAACGTTGCAACTTGTCTCCTTTTTAACTGTTCTTCCCCACTCAAACCACCTTTGAACACAAATCTCATCAAATATATCCGACAAGACAAACTTTCTGTTTCTCACTATGATTTCAAATCAAAGATACCAAAAAATACTCAAAACATTCAATCAAAATATTATAATCTTCTTGAATTTCGATCTCCTTTGAATCATGTTTGTGGTGCATATTTAGATGCTGCTACACATCAATTTGTACAAGCCAAGGAACAATTTTTTAACCCTTGTTGATTTTTTACAATATATTAAAGCCCTGTAATTCTAATCATGTTAGAGATAGTGTATATTTTGTTTATTTGGTATTAGTTTACTATTGGTAATTTTATTTCCCTCTGTTAAATATTATAGCATTTCTTACTCGATTTTCATAAGATTTCACCATTTTTAGATATGTCAATAAAAGTTCAATCTTGAGAAATAATTTTGTAGACTTATATTTGGACTCTCTCTGCTTCTGCCATCTGATCAAAATATTTATTAAAATTATTATATAATAAATGTTATTAATAAATATATGATCTATAAAAAGGGTGTTTTGAAAATGTTAGTTACAAAATAATTAAAGATTGTTTTATATACATATAATATCAATTTAATTAATCTTAGTGAAAGTTAGTTTGAACAAATTTCATATTCTGGAATCATGCTTTTTTTTTTTAATTTGACTCTTAGAAATTTAAATATTTAGATGATGATGAAATGAAAATAAGCATATTGTATAATTTAAATATGTTTTTAGTCTTTGACATATTGTCATATGTAATTTTTATTTGTATTAAAAATGTTTGAATTTTCATTTCTGTATTTTTCTGTTTTATTTTCCCATTTTAGTTTATAAAGCATTTTTGTTTTAAATTAGCCCCTTTCGAATATTTTGTTTTTAGCATCTAAAAGTAAATTATCTACATATTAGAGGGGTTAAAAAATGAGATATCATAAAAGAATTAAAAAATAAATAATAAAAGAGAGTATGTTTACATCTAAATATTTAAGTTGTGTTATATTAATCATTGAAAATATTTTGAAAATCTACTATGTTTTACCTTGATATAGTTTTAAAAATGATGATAAGAACTGAAATAAATAAATGTATACAACACTAAAAATGTTAAATTGAATAAAAAAAATACTTTATATTGAATATTTACATCTAAAATATTATTGACAATGATAATAACTATTATGATTACTGAAATTAGTGTTTTTTTTTTAATTTAATTTTACTCAAATCATATCTAATATTTACAATGTTACACGAGAAATTGAAATAACTTGTGATTCTATTATCATCGAGAATCAAATGTTAGACATATTATGAAGTTACAAATGAATAAAAAATAGTGAATAGTGTTTGATTAAGAATTGAGAAAAAGTGATTAAAAAAGAATATTAGAGAAAGATATTTAGAATTATTCTTAGTTGACTACAAGATGAGAAATTTAGGTCGCATTCCAGATACAGCGGGGACATATAAATTGGAATCTTATCGAAATCAGATACATTAACAATGTGTGCCACAAAGGTGACACTCTTCCACATATGCTGGAAATTTTTATCTTCCATTCATGCTTTTCCACTGAAATTTTATCAATTCACGAAGCAATGAGTTAGTGAAGTCAAATTTTTAGGCTTTTTCTTCACTTCATTTCCCATTACCATTTTAAATTCATTGATAGTGTGACAGACTATAAAGTCAAATCTCCAACACCTTCATGTAAAGGTTGAATTAATAGGGTATTTATCAACGGTGAAGATTGTTTTACAACCCAAATAATTAATAAATAATACTATATAGTATTATCTTTGTTTTAAAATACATGCAAAAAAATTATTTCTAAATATATTTTATTATTTATAAAATTTAAGACTGTATTAATTACTATTTTACCAATTAAGAATGGTTTTAAATAGATAATATTAAGATGATAAAAATATTAATAAAAAGAAAATAATTTATTAAAAATAATAAAATTAATATTGTTTTGTTAAATGTAAAATGTAAAATAATCTTACACATTATATATTTTAGAATAGAGAATAACAATTTTTTTATTGAAAATAATAAAAATTAACACTTACTATCTTAAATCATGCTTGTATAAAAAACTAGTATTATCTTATTTATTTATTTATTACTCTTTTTATTGTAGAAAATGTGATGTATAAAGTTTGGTTACATAAATTTATATTAATATTAATTTTTAATATTTTTAATACATTTTTATTAGTTTTTTCTATTAATATTTTTATCATCTTAATATTTTCTTGAAACAAAATACTTTTAAATAACATGTTATCTAATAAATATAATTAAAAAATATTGATAAAATTAGTAAAAGAATAATTAGTACAATCTTAAACTTTATAAAACATCATGTATTTAAATAAAAAAATTCAACTCAAAAATCATATATTTTAAAAGAGTGTATCTAATAATCTGGGACATATCCTGTAACCTACGTATTTAGTCCAAAATTTATTGATTATTAAGTATATTGCTTATATATTTATAAATTTAACCTGTTATTTTTTATATTTATTTATTGTTTAATAATAATATATTATTTGGTTCTCAAATTCATTCAATTGGGAAGATTTAGTCACTTTGAGTTACCAAACAATATTTTTGAATTATGACTACCATGCATTCTGAAATAATATACTCATATTGTTTATAAACAGTTTAAAATTATTGCACATGCTGCATCAATGGATTCAGATAAATGGTTTATGTATGATCTCATTTTTATTAGATCATTATGTTAAGACGTTTAATAACAGTTTAAATTGATTTCAACTACAATAGAAAACTGATTTAATTAATTTTGTCGTGTATTTTGGAAATTTTACATAGGAAAGAAGAATAAATTTTTTTTTTTTTTATGGATTTATTCATTTGTGATGTAAAAAAGCATTTGTTTCATCTTGTCACTTTTGTAACTACATCTAGAGTTTCCCACGTGAGACCTCGACAGTACAACAATCACAAGAACATTGACATTGGTAATTACTAGATAATAATAGTACTAGAGAAAATGTTGGGTGGATCAATATATGGGAGTGTTGTACCCAGAAAAATGTCCAAAAAAGTGAATAATTTAATTTGAAAAATATGAATTGAGAGTTGAATATTCACAGGACACAAATTTATATCATCAATTAGTTTAAAAAATATTCAAAGTCTAACTTCATAACATACTTCCTTTAAAAAAAACATAAATATCAAAAATAATGTCAAAAGATAATAATAATAATCATGGAAGAGGAGCATTCATGTGAGACAGTTTATTATTTAACATAGGTTGGTGGGAAAAAACTATCCTCGTATCTAAAAATATTTTATTTGTTTTATATTAACCTGAATAGGAATTTAAATATGAATTGAACTTTTATGGTGATTAAAAATAAAAAAGTTAAATAATCCAATAAAAAATTATAATCTAATATTTAAATTTTGATATTAAAAATTATGTATTTTGTTAAAATCATATCTAAATACGTGAATATCTTATATCTCATTGGTAAAATTCTTTATATCAAATTATAAAAATATAACTGAATTGGATCGATTGATTGATTTAATTAATTGGTTTAATTTAATTGAAAATTAGTCTAAAAATTAATATGTTATTTTTAAATAATTAAATTTTAATTAATTTAAAATAAAATCAGAAAAACTAAAAAAATTGATTAAATTTTTTGGTCGAATTAATTTTAATAAAAAAAATTTAAGATATTTTTTATAAAAACTATAATATATTTTAATTATTTTATTTAATAATACGTGTAATTTTTATTATAATTTACTATTATTATGATAAGTATTTGTTTTATTTTTTATTTTTATTATTAATAAATTTATTATAATAAAAAAATTATTTTATTAAATTTAATTAAAGTTAAATCTTTAAATTCTAAATATACGTAGAAGGGATGCAAATATAAAGTGATTGTAGAGATTGATCTACCTTTTCTATGGTGGTTAGGAATTGGTAAATAAAATTAACAAAAAGACATGTGTGAGACCAAGTCTACTATTTATATTTATCAATCTTCCTCATTCAATTACCCTCTAACTGCATCTTCTGTTCTTATTTAAATAAGTGAATTAATTTATTCCTACAAGTAATTCATCTAAATTTTTTTCCTTATTTATTACTCTCTTTCACATCACTGTCACCACACAACATTTACTACATTATTTTTATTTTTCTCTCTTCTTTAATTTCTCCGTTATGCATCACAGAGTCACGGTCATGCATAATTGAAAGATAAATAATTTACATCATATTTTTTAATATTATCTTCATTTTTGTAGTGAACGCCGAACCTGAAACAGAAGTTTGTATTTTTTTACTCTCTAATCCTAATTATACTTACACAAAATTTAAATAATTAAACTTGCTTAGCCATAAAAAAGTTTATATATATGATCGGAAATTAAATCACATATCCTTTCATCTTCTATATATATGGACATGAGTGTAAAAAAAAAAAAAAAAAAACACCCTAAACAATACATCAAATCTTAATCCGAATCCCCTAATTTTTTTTTTTCCCTTAAAACTATTTCAAACAACAAAGTCTTATGAATTTTTTTTGGTCAACAATCTTCACATATGATCATATTCTTAATAGAAAAATACTGAGTTCAGGTCCCCCATTACCATCAGGATTCAACATGTAAAACGCCTCCGAGTCACGACTCCCCACTACTCGCTCAAACCGCGCCCTCATGTACATCAACTCGCCCTCCGACCCGCCGCCGCCGCCGCCAGATTTTCCATTCTCCAGAAGGGGGATCACGCCGGCACCGACCGACACACTCTGGACGGTGCTCAGCACGTGCCAGTCGAGGTCCCCACACGTGCGGGAGACTGCATAGCCGCAGTTCCTGCCGTTGCAGTACATGGTCCATGAAGGCTCTTGAAAGAGTCTCTTCTGTTGTTGCCGGCCACTACCAGGGGCCGACAACGGCACTTTCTGGCACTCGAGCGCGAGCCGCACGAGACCAGAGGACATTTCCTTGACTAAGGAGGAGGTGGACATGGCGAGTTCGACGAGGAGGAGGGGCTCGGCGCGGGGGTGGAGCTGCACGGCGAAGGAGATGTGGCCGCGACGGTGGCCGAAGAGGGTTCCGGTGACTTTCCGGCCGAGGGAGGGGGTGATGGAGAGGTGCGAGGGGATGGTGAGCCACTTGCATGTGGGGATCATCGTGGGGAACGTGAAGATGTTGAGGAAGGAGCGTATGAGGGATGATATCTTGTTTTGCTGCGTCAGTTTGGGTGGTTGTGGTTGTTGCTGTTGTTGCTGGTGGTACAAGTTTGAGACCGAAGGCGAGGATCCTCGTCGCACGAGGAGTTTGTCGGAGACATCATCGGATTCGAAGGCGCGGGAGTGGGATAGGGTCGAGGGGAGTATTCTTCGGGTGTTTCGTGTCGTGGCTGTGCATGCACTTGAGCTTCTTTGCAAGATTTGGTGTTGGTGTTTCATGTTGTGCTGGGAATTACTTAACTGAAGGAGAGTGATGGGCTTTGGAGTGAAAGAAAGATTGTGAATAAAGGTTGGAAATTGGAAGAAGAAGAAGAAGCAGAAGAGAGAGAAAGAGGGACCGACAAGGTGATTATGGTGTTGGGGGAGAGGAGGAATATAAAGGGAGGGTGTGGAGGGTTGTGCCTGTGATGATGATAATTTGCTGGACTTTTGTATTGGGAATGGTCCTACACTGCTAACACCAACCATCATCTGTGTTCGTTAATCATAATATTATCAGAGAATTTCTTTTTTAGTCAAGTGAATTGATTATAACATCTATAACATAACAATTTTATAAAAAAAATTATGAAATTTTTGTTTTAATCACTAAATCTTATAAAAAAAAACCATGATATTATGTTTAGATATTCTTAATATATGTCAGATTAGCATATTCCTAAATTCCTAAAATGCTAGGTTCTATTCATTGACTTCATCTCACCCTCCCCTTCATATGTGGGTCCTTCTTGCCTTCTTTATCACACATATTATACGCACAGTACATAAGTGGTTTGTACAAATTTTTGTCACTTAATTAATTAAATGTGAACAAAAGGAATAATTTAACTTTATTAAAAAAAAAAGTTTGTATCTTAAAAAAGAAAAAAATAAAGAATTAAAAGGTGGAATAGGGGTTGAGAAGATCTTACACATGAGCTGGTTTTGATCGCGTAGGTTAATAATATTGGTTAGGTCATTCAAGTTTTTTTATTTGTGTGAGTTTATATTGAGCGTTGGATTAAAATGATGCAGAGATATGATAATCATGGTTGAAACATGCGTGATATGGGACCTGCATGAAGTCCAAAAACAAATAAATAAAACCCATGAAAACTGAGACATGCACATTGATTTGATGTTTCTATTACATTATCCCAAACAGAACCATATATAATCTTCATTAACGTGGGATTTTGTCTATTAATTAATCAACTTTATGACACAGTTTGTAATCAAATAATAAGCTATTATGCACATTCGTGTGAACTAACAACCACCCACATCCCAAAACTTGATTCATCTTTTGTGCCACGGGAGAATTTTAATAATCATTTATTCTTCATGCAATCATATTCAATTTTGAAGCTGAATCTTTTTTATATTTATAACATTTACAAGTTTATATACCTTCACTAAAGTTTGGTCAAATGTATTCCATTATAACATGCTTCATCACGAAAGATTTTTTATTTTTAGTTTCCTTATGTAAGCATGATATGAACTATATCATTTAATAACATGAGGTCAAGGATTTCACAGAGCAATCTTTAATCGACGTATACATTTTATTTTAATTGAATCATTTTATGAATATAATATTAAAATTTAAAATTTAAAATGTATATTTCTGTATATAATAACTGTTTGATAATACCCTTTCACCATAATTGTTTTCATTTTTATAAGACATTAATTATAGTAGTTGAATAATGAAACATTAATTATTATTTTATTAAAGTATTTTTAATTAATTGCTCTAATTTTACTATAAAATTTCATAAATATTTGAAATGTGAATGTGAAAAAATTTCTCTCGGCTAATCTGATTTAAACATATAAACACTCAAATATATTAAAACATCACTCAACTATTTTAATTCTAAAAAACTATACAAACCATCTAATTTTTTTTATTTAAAAAATAATTCATCTAATTTTATTAATTCTTTATTTTTAATTATTTTATAGAAAAATATTATTTGATAATTCCCTCTAAATAAATAATCTATAGATAAATTTTTAGGTAAAAAAAACTAAACCCTAATTTTATTCACTCTTTATTTTTTTATTATATTTTTAGAAAATAATTAGTTGATAATTCCCTCTAAATAAATAATCTATAGATAATTTTTTAGGTAAAAGAAAAAAAGTACTGTGGATACTTTTATGATATATATTTTTATAAAAAAAATTGTTAAAATATTTTTTTTATATTAGATTGTTTATATGTATTCTTATATTTTATGAATAATATTAAAAATTAAGAAATAATTAATTAATTTTTATAAAATCCGAGTGAGAGGTTTATATTCATTTATATATATTAGAAAGTTACATATATTTAATTAATATGAGATGTGATGGTACTCTTTCATCAAAATAATTCATATCATATAAGTAATTAAAAAAATGAGTGGCTAAAAAGAAAGTTTTAATCAATATATTAATTTTGTGAGAGAAGAAGATGAACATTGAAAAAGCCAAAAAAAAAAAAAAAAGATATGAAATGGAGGCGCGTGCTATGCCACCCTAGAAAGTGGGGAATAAAACACAAAGTTGCATGACACGAGGGTGACGAGCATGACAAGGTGAGGTCAATCAGAATTATGCTGTTTCACACAACCCACTTTTCCAAACCATAATTAATATACCATAAAACAAATTAACACTTCAATTAATCATAATTAATTATTCATCCTCTCATCATTCACCATGTCAAATTTAATTTTAGTTAATTATCATTTTGGACGGTTCCAAACCCTCAATTTTGTCCCCAACATCCATTGGATCGGTTAACTAACCATTTTTATATAATCAATCATTCAAAATCTCTCTTTCTTCTAACAAAAATAGTATACATCACTTTCCTTGTTTTGTTTGCATCACCATGTACAATTTCACGAGGGTAAGTTAGATTAATATAATAATTCTTTGTTATTAAACAATTAAAGGCTTAATTATGGCTTTATTTTTAGAACTTGTAACCCATTTGATTTGGTCACCTTAATTAAAAACAAATAGGTACACTAAATAAAAAAACATATTTTTATTACTTGATTGCAAGTGCTAAGTCTCACGTTAATTAAAATAGAGATTAAAAATAATTTATTTATATATTTATTTTTTAATTTATCAAAATACATTTTAAATATAAAATCTTAATGAAGTAAAGATCCAAATATTATGATTCTACACTGAATATAAAATACTCAAATAGTTTTTAAATATTAAATTCGAGAAATTAATAAGATTTTAAAACTATTTTTAGGATATTTTGAAATAGATATAAAAAAAATTGTAATATTTAATTATATGTATAATGGATTATTTTTATAATCAGATTTGATTTTTCATTTTATATTAGTTTAATGAAAAATTAATTTTAAACTAACTATGTTTTTTAAGGAAAAAAATATTTTAAAAAATAATTTTGTTTGAAAAACGAGATTTATCTCAACAAATTTAAAAAATTAAGAAAATTACATCTATTGAATATGGTATAAGAATCTTCTATTTATATATTCTAATGTTTACCATGAAATGTTTTTCTCTAAATATTCAACACATTTATATACTTATTCCAACTCAAAATTATTATGTTTTTACAAAATAAAAAACACATTTTTGCTTTAAATAATTCTGTTTTGTCACATCCCTTACTAAATTTTTACAAGGATGGTAGTTTTTTTTTTAATTTATATGTCACCCGTAACAACTAAAAATAATCTAACTATTATAATTAAATATTAATTTAATATAATTTTTTAACATAAAAATATTAATTAAAAATTCACATATTTATGTTGATATTATAAAAATATTGTCTATTAAAAACAAAAGTTAGAAATAAAAAAATAAAAATTATTTATAGCAATAAATATGTAGTAATTTTTATTATATTCATATCCAAAATGTTGACAAATATGTTTCACCAAATAATGAAATACCCAATCACAATAAAAATAAATAAATTAAAATTTATAAATAAATATTGTTTTTTATATAACTGGTTTTCAATATTTTAGAATATAAATTTTTATAAGAAAAATATAAGTTTAATAATTTTTTAAATTTTGGATATGATAAATATTTAAACAAAAGTTTTTTATTTTTAAAATTTCAAACATAAAAGGATAATAATAACAAAATAAATAATTAGTTGGTTTTTTAAACCATTAAAAAGAGAAAAATAAAATCAATAATGTAAAAATTAAAAAATAATTGCTAAATGTTGAGAATATTTAAACAAAAAAAATATCTATGAAATTTTTTTTTATCTATTTATTTCTCATTTTGTTTAAGCAATATTGTTTAGTAATTTTGTTAAAATTTAACTTCAATGCAGTTGCTTATAAATTATTTAAGCAAAAGGGACACTAGGGATAGTCTTAGTATTGTACTTCATCATGCTTATCTGTTGTTATTTTATTTTTATTTAATTGGGCCAATGCGTTTTCCCAACAAAACTGGGCCTCAGATATAGGCCCAAAACAGCTGGTAAACTATATATATAAACTGATAAGAGTAAACTACTATTTTGTCACACATTTGCACAATATATACACATATATTAAAATATTAGAGGAGATAACCCTTTAATAATTTAACACATTCTTCTTCTTTTTTTCCTTGCTAGTGATATTGGCCCAAATTACAGAATCATGATATTAATAAAATTTATTCTTAATAGAGAGAGGAAGGGAGGGAGACCTAAAAGACCACCATTTTTTTTTAATCTAATCAACCATCTTAGTAGCTGAGAACTGTTTGGTTGAACTAAATGACTAAAGTGTTTCAACATGGTTAGTCATCAAGTATGTAACTTGAACCTAATTTAGCAATCAAATGCTGGTGAAAGCCAAAAATTTATGAACTTCACATGAATAATTTATTTAATTTAGCCTAAAACTATCTCTATATGCTAAAACTTGAAGTGGCCAGATGAAGAACTGGGCTATCTTTTCCAAGTTCCAAAGGTAAGTTTTTCAGTACAAAAATGTCACTGTGAAGCCACTTGACTCCCTGAGTCGTTGCAAGGTTCTATTTTCAATCCTTTCCTCTGCCGACCATAATCTGTTGACAACCTGAAACAAGAAAATTCACAAGCATGAAAACCCTTTTGGCAAATATTAAAAGTAAGGTTCAACTTTCACTATGAAGACACTTGCACCAAGTTACTTGATTAACTAACATGTTAAAGATCAACACCAACATTGCCTACAGAAAATAGAAGCAGAACCAGTATCCATAATGAGGTAGTAGTAAAGTTTGTTATTTCATTCTGTAGGGGCTGCAACAATGCAGTTTCTAAATAGGTTACAATGAAAACATGACTGGAAAAAGGGAGTCATGATGACATACCCTAACTGCAAAGAAGTATCTGAATGGTCATTTTCCTCTGAAGCACAATTGAAAAGAGATTTTGGACTGTTCTTGGAAAATGTCCTATCCAAAGAACTGAATTCAAGGAACTGTGTCTTTGCTTTATTTTGTATCTCCTCAAGCTGTTTACAGTTAAAATTAAAGATGGGTAAGAAGATAAACTGTTTCTAGATATGAAAAGTTAATCTGAGATAATTTTAGTTTTGACTTTTGAGTCGGGTTTGATTCTTACCTGTTTGCGCAGAACTTCGTTTTCCAGCACAACCTTTTGCTCCTGCAGATACATTTGCAAAACTTATTCAAATATAAATTATGAATACAAAGGTGTATTTGAAATTCTCTTCCATTAGAGTATAATCCACTATTTCTCTACGACAATAAAGAAATAATGACTTGCAATTGTTTCATATGAATTTAGGCTTTGGTAGGGATACAGGTACCATAATTGTTGCCATGCACACTTTTACTTTCCAGTCAGACATTTTAAGACACAAGTTATTTTATTTCAAAATAGCTATAATGCCAAAACTACCAATCCATTTTGTATCTATTAGGTATCAAATCTAGTTTTGTTGTAGAAGGAAAATAACGTGAAAATTGCAAGGAGAACCATGTACCTGTATCCTAGACCTCCTAAGCTGTTCTAGAAGTACTTGTTCCTGAAATATTATATTGTGAGGAATAAGATTAATCACAGCATATCCATATATTAGAAAGTCTTGACCTGTAGAACTAATTAGTAGTTGAATTTAGTGATTGATACATATGTCAGAAAGAAAAAGTAATTAACCTGTTTACAATCTAATTATTCATCTCAGTTAGTGGCACATAGCAGGAAACTAATACATTCATTACTACACATAAAAATAGTTCTGCTATAACAAGCAAAAAACTGCTATTAGGGCCATTATCTGAATCCATAGCAGCCCAAGGTCACTCTGCTCAGACTATAGTTCGCTATTGACTACTATACGTAATAAGGAAATGCATCACTCTGCTCAATTGCCCTTGAAAGGATCACATTCTTGCTATGGAGATGTGCTCTGCAATAATGTCTGAATGTGACTGGTGTTATGTGGTAAGGAACCAGGTGTTATGTGGTAAGGAACCATGGTATATATGGTTGGAATAGATTCTATTTTGAGAGAGTTGAAAAAAACACTATATTATTAAAAGGTTCTATACATCTGACCTTTCTCAAGGCATTTTTGTAAACAAGAATGTCATTTTTTCCTATTTTCATATGGTAAATATTTCTTAGAATATGGAGCGTGAATCCAACCCATGTTTAAATTGAAATTGAGATACTAATGCAGGTTCTTCCTTTCTGAATCAAGTATATTCATATCTAAAAGAGGTTGACAATAAGTTTTTTTATTGATTGGTCATGTCATATAGGCCCGAGTCGCACATCCAATTGGTTTGATTTGACTTATCTAGAGAATATCTTATCTATATAGATAGATATAGATATTCTATAAAAAAAATTGAATAATTAGACCTATTTATCAATTCAATAGAAATCCCAAGAGATGAATTTAATAGAGTTCTAAATAATGAGAGATATGTGAAAAAATGTTTGATTACGCGTATTCTTAATCCTACATGTGACTGACGACATGGCCCAGTCACGTGACTAACCACTATTATTAACACGACTCATGCTTAGGTTTGAGATCCGAAAAATATGTCAACAACTACAATACGAGGTAGTGGACAGGGTTCAACCCACGACCCATCAGAAGAGTAGCTAACCCATGCACACCACAATACTAGGAAAACACACGACTACAGGAAGACCTTTATGTATAGACCCAAACCACCATAAATAGCGGATAACAAATATCAAGTATTCTAAAGGAATTTTGGAAACCTTATCAAATGCTTTTTTCTAGAAGATTGACCATATTAACATGGATGGAATAGAGAAAATCTTGAAAGAATGAAGGAAATGACAAGCAAAACAATAAAATCAATTACACCACTATTAGTATTTGATCTTGGTACCTTCTTGTCTTTGACAGCTAGTATCCCTTCACTCAGTTGATTTTCTAGGTGTTGCAGTTCTTTAAGGCTCAATCCATCAAGCTCCTTACCCATCATCTTTCTACACAATTTGAGAATGTTATCAGCAAAAAATGTGGACTCAGATTCTGATGAAAAACAAGCACACAAGATAGATAGAAAATACAAGGTAGTTATATTCTTGGGTCATTTCATTGAGTTATTTCACTAATGATTGTATCTGTTATTTTATTTCACTAATGATTCCATAAACTTACAAGTGTGCCGTTCGAAGCTTTGTTATTTCATCCTTCAAAAGGTTAGTATCAGGCTCCATAACCATAACCTATTTAAAAGTATGAATAATAACTCTTCAAACTATATACTGAAAAAAATTGAACTTAAAAGTATAAGGGGTTTATACAATAAAGTGTGATGCTTTAAGATATTAGAAGGAAAGTGTAAATACATCTTTTGGGATCACATCAATAGGTTGCTCTGCAGAATCTGGTTCCGTGCCTTTGCTGTACCTTGAAAGCGTATGCTCCATGCTATGAAATAAAAACATTTAATCGTAAGAGTAAGAGAATTTAAGTAGCCAAACAACCAACACGTGTTTGGACTTGCAAATTAACATCAAATCTTCCACCACAATCCTGTCTCTGCATTTAAAAAATGTCAACAAAGTTTTAAAAGAAAAACTAAATGATAGGGTTCATTGTTCACTTATTTAGCTAAATGTTGGAGAAATAATTACTTATGTTTTCAGAATACTCAGGAAGCTCTCTAAATAAGTTAGTCTAAACACGGCTAATTGTCAATAACTGATTAAGGTAGAATTTGGGACTACAAAAGAAAGCAACAGAAAACATAAATTTTCTCTAATAAGTTTTCTCTCTACTACTAAACCCTACAAAAATCCCAATTCAATGATAAAACTCTACACTTTTTTTTTTCTTTTATCAAAAAGATTGTTATCCCTTATAAAACACTTAAACGGTTCTCCAAAATAAAATCAGCTAATCCGTTTACTTGGTCCACAAGTATCATCACCCCAGACAACTTTCTTAAAAAATAATAATAATAATAATTATCTAACAAGACTACCTCATATCCTAAAAACAAACAAAACATGGCTTGTATGCGAAAGGTTTAAAATTTGAACAAAAGTTTCAAAGTGGTAAAGCAAGCATGCACCTTGTGTTTGAAAACTCATAAAGTTTGCCAGTGCTAGAGAATATGATGACAGCAACCTCAGCATCACATAGAACAGACAATTCTTTGGCCTTCTTCAGCAACCCATTTCTCCTCTTGGAAAAGGTAACCTGTCTGCTGTTCAAGTTCTCAATTTTCTTAATCTCAATCTTCCCCCTCCCCATGTCTTTCCCTCTTCCCTCTCACAAAGCTCCTTCCTTTATTATCCTTCCTCACCAAACACTGAACCCACCAGCATTCAGAATATGAGGGGAAAGATGGGCACGAAAAGAAGACCTCAAAAGAGGTTATTTATTTATATGCAAGAGACACAGCACACACAAAATAAAAAAGCAGAACTATTTTGTTGTTGGAGGGGATTGGGATTCTGCAGAGACCACCAAAGATGGAAAGAGTGACCAAAATTAGAGTCTCGAGAGAAAAGTGACAGATGGATTACTATGTGTGGCAATGATCCTAATATGGGATACTATTTGCTTGGGGAGTAGGTAATCACCACTTCTAGGAACGTTTCTCTTATATAATCTTACTTTATGTTTGGATGGTACTAGGAATTCCAACCATCTTCATGTTGTTTCTTTTCATCTAAATAAATAAACTTCTTTGTTTTAACAATAATATTTTTTCTAACTATTCAGAACCAAAATAGGGGTTTGGTAAAATCCTTTCTAAGATAGGAATCCCAGATTTTATCTTTGAATTTTGCTTTGATATAAATTTCTAATTTTGATGAACTGATGGTGAGAAAATATGGCAGTATTTGGTATTTTTATGATATTTTATAGAAAGATAAGATTATTCATGGAAATTTTTTAAAAAGTGGTTAAGTAAATTATTTAAAAATTCTTTTTTAATATTCATTTAATTAAGTAGTGAAACTAAATTAGAAAGTAGTGTGGGAAAGTTTTAGAATAGTAGTGATTAAAATATATTTTTCTTTATTTATTCTGAAGATATTTAAGCACAGATCTTAGTTAATATATCTTGTTACCATATTTGTATTTACTTATATTGGTAATTCATTCAATTATAGTTTCTTTTTTAAAATTCAAAAAGTAATGTCCCAAAAAGGAAAAAATGATTATGTTTGATAATGACTCGTGCTCTTATTGTTCTATTAAGAGTAAGAAGACATGGCAACTTTATTTTTCATCATTGTTAATTAAAGAAGTTTTCTGTTTGAAGGGTGTTTTTTCTAAAAATAGATATGGGTAGATCATAAATCATATTCTTTCATATTTTTAAATTGATGCTTAAAAAACAGTCTATTTCCAATATCAACATCTTTTTTATTTGAATTATTATTTTATGTTGCGGAAAAGAAAAGATAAAGATTATAGTATATTTGGAGAGAATAATTTTTTTGTTGAAGATATTAAATGCGAGTGATTATTTACGAAGCAGTTATATTTTGAATTTTTTGTGTGATATGCAGTCATAGTGTGTGTGGTGTGTTTGGATGCTATGTATTTTAAGTGGTCTTTTTAGTACTTGTGTCAATAAATGTGAAAGGCGTAAATAAAATTTACTTTTGTAAAATGGACAAATTTTAACTTCTAAAAACAAATAATTTTACAATTAAAAATTCTGATATCAGTATTGTTTTTTTCACTTTTTTATGTGACACTACTTAATTATTCTTCTACAAAGAATTAATTAATTATTTATTATGAGTTTATATGTATGACTTTTATTTAAAAATAAGACAAGTATAAAATTTTAATCATCCTATTTTTTTCAATTTGTTTTAAAAAAATAGTCCAACCGTTTAAATTAAGATCCCTGTCATTTAAATATTAATGTTGATTTATGCACGACACTTTCTAACTAGTGTTTTTTACCATTACATAAAAGACAATTTTACAAAAAAATTTAATTACTTTGAAATAAACAAATAATCTTAGTATGACATGAATTAGAATTTGTAATGTGAAAATCAACATTACTAATATCTAAACCATCATTGTCATAATTTGAATGTTTAGTCACTAATTTCGAAAAGTTGAGAAACTAATGTTTCTATTTAAAGATGGAAAGACTAAAATTGCATTTTAGTCTATAAATAGGATAGTTTGAGTAACTATTGTATTTAAACCAACAAATAAGTAAAGTGGGTGTTCAACTTATCTGTATATTTCTTTTCCAGATAAACTAAGCCTAAGAATTTTGATGTAAAACTGTCGTGTTTTGAAATTAAATTACATCATTTTATGACATCTTTGCAGCAATTTGCAATCCATGCTAGGGGCGGTTATAGTTTAGTTCATCATATAAAACCAACCTCAGTGAAACAAATCCTTTTCACTTGCAAAAAGGAACTGAATTAGTTTTGTGAAACAAATTAAACCATTTGACAAACTAGCCATGTTTGTGCTGTAAACCAGATAAGTAGGACTATACATTGAAGAAAAGAATAAACAATATGCAAAAGTAATGCTCGAACGAATGCTAAATGTTTAGATCAATAGTTTGGTTTCCTAAGCTCTAATCTATGATTGCATATAACAAGGGCAGGGGCAGTCATCAGAACAATTCCTTGTTGACTGATAAAACTATCACTAGTTACTTCAGAAACCAGTTGAGTGTTGAAACTAACCGAGAACCATCACATATTTACATGAATATGATGTATCTCGATAACATTATCGAATGAAAGGGAACAAACGTATATCACAGTCAACTGTTCACTCTTACCCCAGATTTCAGAAGTCAGAGCAGTTGAAATGAAATGGCCTGCACAGTTGGGGTAGACAGACAGCAATGGATGCACCAACTGCCTCCGCAAAGTGCAAATAGAGCTCAAAGGTGCAGAAGTAAGCTAAATATATAAGAAAACTTCCACAAATTGAGAAATTTGTCCACACATTCCCTAAATACTTTTTTTTTTTTTTTCATTTTATCTTCTTTTTCCATCAAACTTCAGCATATGCACAATGGGTCTGCTTTAATGAAAAGCTCATCTTATTTTCAAAAGCCAGGAGAATCACACGAAATGGCACTGGTTCTTGCTCTTAACCAATCTACCATACCTACTCTACTCAAACTAATTACTTGATCAATTCAGCATTTAAACTATCCAGCTTCTGGTCCAAGTTTTATAACAATTTACACGTGTATATTCCTCTTGACATCAACTGAATAAGTTGCCTCCAATTTCAACAGCCAACAACTCATCATACACAAGGTGTCAGTAACTTGTTGTAATTTGCCAGACTCAAATTGTTCATTGAGCAATTTAAGCAACTATTCAGGCAACTAAGACACATCAGGCAAATGACTGTGAAAAACTGAATTACTTAGTCACGCAATATAAAAGACTAAAACCTAAATTGATTTCTGCATACATTGAGCATGATTCAAGTATTTCAACAAATTAGAACTACTAGTACCACTCATCCACTGGTTGCAGAGAACAAATCATCACCAAATCCTTTCAAACAAAGTCGATCAATTCTAGAATGATGTTCCGAAGAATACCAAAATCTGAGTTTGGGCAGATCGACTCCACTGTCACTGATAATATAATTAAAATTAAGATTAACATATAACTGATATTGCCAACAAAAGCCTTCAAACGAGCATTTTAACTGACAACTTGATCAAGAAAATTAAAACTTCCACTAGCAAAATAATTATTTTAACAAAACTTATGTGCAAGCGCTAGCATTGAAAAGATGTTTGATTTCAAAATAGCACAATAACAACAACGCACGATAAAAACCTGAATCCTAACCCTAACAGCACAACACAATAAAACAATAGAAATAAATAAAGGTTCAATCGAGGTCCTTGACGATCTTAATCCCCATGCTATTCGCAGTTCCTATAATGGACTTGGAAATGGATTCCAGCGGCATGTTCTGGAGGTACGGGTCGGATTGCTTCGCCTTCGCGATTTCGAACACGTGCCGAACCGAGAGCGTGGACGCGGTCACGTGACCGGGGCGGCTGCTGCCAGATTCCACCCCGGCGGCTTTCTTCAGGTACCACGAAACCGACGGCGACTTGACGGTGAACTCGAACGTGTTATCCTTGTACGCCGTTATCGTTACGGCCATGGGAGTTTCGGGCTTGTACTTCTGCGTCCGCGCGTTGAAGTCCTTGCAGAACGCCATTAGATTCAGCCGGTACTGACCCAGCGCCGGACCCACCGGAGGCGCCGGCCGAGCCCCGCCGGCGGGAACCCTGAGCCGGATCGTCGCCGCTACTACCTTCGCCGCGCTCATCGTCGTCGGTGGTGGTTGGAATATTTTAGGAAACGATGTAGCAGTGGGTGAATTGAGGGTTTAAGCTTCGTGATGTGGGCTAGGCCCAACTATACTTCATGGGTCAGGTCCAACTCCGCTTCATGGGCCAGGTGAAGAAAAAAAAAAAAAAAGTGGTTACTATTGACCGTAGATTCATGTCGAGGTTAAACATTTCATCCCTCGAAAAATTGTATTCCCTCTATGACTTTTTTTAACATTTTAAATTAAAACCATTAATTAACTTAAAAATTATAACTAATTAATGCATATAAATATGTATTCCCTCTATAACTAATTATTCCCATATTAAGTATCTCTTCATTAGTTTAGGACATCTTTAAAAAAAACTACTACCTAAAAGAACAATTCATAAAATAAATAAAAAGTATAATTAAGATAAAATGGATGTGTTATGAAATTATTTCATGCTTTTTATTAGTATGTTTGGAAATTTCACATCATTAAAAAATTAACGTTAATAATAATTTATATACTCTCTTAATGTGTTTTTTATGATAAAACTATCACTAGAAAATTCAATAATACGTAAATATTATCATTAGTGGCGGATCTTGACCGAGTAAGTTTGGATGGCGGATCTTGACCAGTAAGTTTGGGGGCCAATTATAAAAAAATTATATAATAATAAATAAAAATAAAATATTTATTTAAAATTGTATCCTTCGTTCTTTTAAATGTTTGAACTCATCAATAATAGAATCAGAATTAAAGTTTTCAGTTATTTCTTTCTCAATATAAATGATCATATTATCTGCAATAATTCATCTTCCAGTCTATTTCGCAGTCTTGTTTTGATAATCTTCATTGCAAAAAATGATCTCTTAGTTGTAGCTGTAGAAACAGGAAGAGTTAAAATAAGACTAATTAAACGATCTATTGAGTAAAATGTACCTCACATACCTGTTTTTGTCAAAGATTGACATAATTCAAGCATGATAGACAAATTCTTCAAACCTGGATGGTTAGGAGCATCAAGTATAAAATGATGAAGTTGAAATTTTAAATTAATCTTCTCTTGTTCACTAAAATCCAAAGGATAAAATTTGTTCACAAGTATGCATATATGATCAATGTTAAAAATTTTATAAACATCATTTGGAATTAAAGCATTGCTTAAAGTTAAAAGTTTCATTGTTTTCTCACTAAACCTATCATTTAATTCTTGTAATTGTTTATCCACTGTAATAAAAAATATGTTCACCCTAAAACGATGTTCTACTGTAATACAATCTTTTTGATGTCGAGAACGACCATGACCTGCTACATAGGTAGAATTAAAATTAGGAATATCAATGTCATGTTGCTCACAAAAAAATATCACATCTTTCAACAAATCTTGTCAACCCTCCTCTCTTAATTTTTAAATCAAAATTTTAGTCGAATAGACTAACTGCATAGCATTATGTATATCCTGAGATTGTTTCTGTAAAGTTTGACAAAGACAATCAGTAATTCCCATAATTTCTTTCATCATGTGTAAAATCAATACAAACTCAAACTCGGATAAAATATTATAAGCAGCATCAGCACCACCCCTTTGAGAATAAGTTGAACCATCAATTATAATTTTTTGGATAACTAAACAAGATGCACTATACAATTTCATCATACTATAAATGGAATGAAAATGTGAACTCCAACGAGTATCACCAACTCGTTTTAAAGTGTCAATTTGATTTTTTCCTTTACCAGTTTCAAGTTCATAAAGTTCTAACAATTTTTCTATTTCATCTAATTCTGCACTTTGTAATTCATCATGACGTTTACTAGATGAACAAACAACATTTATAATAAAAGCCAAATTTGAAAAAAATTGATGAACTGAATTAACTTCTCTTGAAGCAGCAACCAAAACAAGTTGTAATCTGTGAGCAAAACAATGTACATAATAAGCATAAGGATTATCATAAAGAAATAATGCTTGTAATTCATTCTATTCTCCTCTCATATTACTAGCACCATCATATCCTTACCCACGAATATTGGAAACATCAAGATTATGTCTAGAGATAGCAACACATAATTCTCTTTTAAGAGTAGCAGCTGTAGTATCCTTAACATGAACAATATCAAAAAAGCATTCTTTAATATTACCCATTTTATCTACAAATCTTAAAACAATAGTCATTTTTTCTCTTCTAGATTCATCACGAACTTCATCAACAATTATACAAAATTTTGAGTCACCAATTTCTTCACGAATATAACTTCTAGAAAAAAATTTGCAAAATTTCCTTTTGAATATGATGAGAAGTATATTTTGAATTATAAGGAACATTTTCTAACACAACTTGTGTTACTTTATCATTGTATGATGCTAAAAGTTTAATCATCTCAAGAAAATTACCTCTATTACTTGAATCTGGAGTTTCATCATGGCCTCTAAATGCACAAGCTTGAAATGCTAGCCAACGAATTGTATCAATAGATGTTTTAAGCCGTAAACGATTTTTGCAAACTTCTTCTGAATTTTGCACATTTATAATGTTGTCAATGTGCTTAGATTGATTCAATAAGTCTGTACATGTTTTTACTGCATTGTTATGTGGTGAACAAGGACTATCTCCAATATGACTAAGAAACGCACAATTCTTTCTTGAATTAACCTTTTTCCATGATCTAAATCCTTGTCTAATAAATACATCTGCCCCAGAACGACCATTATTTGACAGTGTACTAAATAGATAACATGGCAAATAATAAACTTCATTACTAGTTGGAGAATACTCTAACTAAAAATGAAACATTTTAAACCAACCATATTGAAATCTCCTAGGATGTTTCTCTTTAGAAAAAGGATAGTCTTTAAGTTGTATTTGATATGGACCCAATTTAAACAAGTTCTTCTAATTTCATCTCTTTGATTCATAGGATATTCATGTATCTGAAGATGTTTTCCTTAGTCACGCTCCAAAGAATTAATATTAAATTCATTGGTTTTAATTCTATAAATCTTAGAAAGAGGTTCTTCTAATTGAATAATTGGATCATCATTACCATGCTTTGAAACAGGAGAAGATGTTGAATTTGTTTGATTTTCATCTCTACAAGTATCTTTTTTATCACTTTTAAAAAATGAATTTATTCTTTTATGCTTCATATCTAGAGAAAAATGAATCTATTATTAATTTTATAATTATAGAATCATAAAAATTTATAAAAAACAAAAATAGTTTTTTCAAACAACAAATGTTCTTCAACAAAAATCAAAATAACAAATAATAATAGAATAAACAATGAAAGGATGAAAAAAATTACTTTTATCAATCAATATAATTTCAAATATGGAATATGAAGAAAGAGGAAGAGAGACGAAAAATGAATTTGAAAGTACAAACTACAAAAATAACTTAATATTAATCAATCAATATTACCGTTATTTAACCTTTCTTATTTAATATATTTTTTAGAAATTAGAGAAATAATTAAATATTAATAAAATATTACCGTTAATGAAAGAGTACGAAAAAGTGAGAGAAAATAAAAATGTCAGATAATAAAATTATTTTTAATCTTTCTTATTTAATTTATTCTTTCAATTTTTTTTATGATATATTTAATATTAAGGGACTAAAATCATAAATATACAATTAAGTTATAAAATTTGAAATGTCGTACCCTTAATTACTATAAATATCCGCTATTGATACACTCTCCCATAGCGAAACACTTTTCACTTTTATTAGAATTACAGACATGAAAATCACTTCCAACGCAAAAAAAGTGTCGGTATTTTCTGTAAAACCCTGGGAAGTGGAAAGATAAGAAAATCTAAATTTTAATTCCTACAAGGAAATAACTACTTTTTGGTATATTTTCAATATAGTACTTTTTTTTAAATAAAATTTTAATGGGTTTTTACTAATTTAAAGCTCTATATATATATATATATATATATATATATATATATATATATATATATATATATATATATATATTCTAAATGCAATATGAATTAAAACATATCTCATGAAATTATTAGTTTAAAGTACATATATAAACTATTAAATATTTTATTGTCAACTAATTAAATTATAAATACAATTTATAAGATAATAATTTAAAAACTCAGTAAGTTTATTATACATGATCACTTATTATGGAATGACTATAAACAATTTTACATGAAGTATATATTTTTTATATGCTCTTGTTGATAAATGTTTTAAAATTTTGATTGAAATTTTATGTTTCTGCATCTCATTAAATATTTGTGTTAATAAAATAATATATATACATTAGCTGTCAACTGTTTTTTTTTATTCTCAAGATGATAAGTTCTTTAAAGGAAACAAATTAATGTTTTTTAATTATTTTGTAAAAGTTATTAAGAAATATTTAATGTGCGTGCATATATATATATATATATATATATATATATATATATATATATATATATATATGAAATTAATGCTTCCTTTTTTCTATTAATTGTAAATATTAATATTTAACATAATGCATTCATCACAGGATGAAAAAAACAGTTAATAGCATTACACTGTTATTAATTATAATTTTTAAATATCAATTAAAAATATATTGAACGTTTCATTAAATATATATTTTTAATGAGTTTAACGGCAATATAAAGTAATTTTTTTTGCAGTATAATTAAGTAGAATTTATAATAAAATTAAATGATATTACTAATATATTATTTAAGCAATGTTACTGATATATTATGATATGTGAATCAATGAAAGTTTAAAATAGATGTACCTCACTTAAATTGTATTTTAATTATTAATTTAGGAGATAATATATATATATATATATATATATATATATATATATATATATATATATATAATAGTCAAAAAATGGAAATCGTTATTATTGAATTTAGTTAAGAATAAAATGCTGATGTAAAAATATCTTTTAAGAGTATCAGTTAATTTGATAAACAAATTTGATGTATAATTTCAAATCCTTTTTTTTTTTTTGTAATAAAGAGAATGCTGATCACACTTTATTCAATTTTGTTTAACATTTTTTATTATTAGAATTTATTAAAAATTACAAATTTTAGTAAGTTTCATTTCTGAAGAGTTTGTCAAGGTTTAAGGAAAATGATTAAATAATCTCGTATCAATGTTTCTTAATCAAATATATCACACGACATGTAATCGAATGTAAAAAATTTAAATAAACGTCGAATAAATATTTATTGAGACCATAAAAACCTTAAGGTTTATACGTAGAAATTAATACATATATTAGTTTTCTTCATTTTATTAAGATAAATATGGCGTTTCTATTTTATTATTATTTTTATTTATATTTTACGGTAATAGAAAGAGAAGCAGAAAAATAATTAGATTGACGCTTATATTCCTATTTTAGTTTAAATAAATACAAGTAAGACAAATTTTAATTGATTGGTATGCACCGTAAATATAAAAATCTGTTAATTGATTTTAATATTATCAATTAAAAATGCTATTATTATGCACTAATTAATTAGGTTTATTAAGAGAGATAAACGGAGATAAGTTTGTAGATTTTAAACTAATAATATAGTTATTAAAAAAAAAAATTATTAATGATATATTATTATTATTATTGTATAAAGCGTAATTCCAAACCTGCTACGAATGAATCTCGTCTATAAATACCGAAAGCGCAGAAGGAGTTTTCTTCGCTGTGGTTGTTGGCTCGTTCTCTCTTTCTCTCTCTCAAACACACTCCGCGTGCAAGCAGAGTCTCTTGCATTGTATTGGATCCCTCAGGGAAGGAAGAAGATGTCGGACGCGTTCTGCAGCGACTGCAAGAAGCAGACGGAGGTTGTGTTCGACCACTCCGCCGGCGACACCGTCTGCTCCGAGTGCGGCCTCGTCCTCGAGTCGCACTCCATCGATGAGACCTCCGAGTGGCGTACCTTCGCCAACGAGTCTGGCGATAACGACCCTAACCGTGTCGGCGGCCCCTCAAACCCCCTCCTCACCGACGGTGGCCTCTCCACCGTCATCGCCAAGCCCAACGGCTCCGGCGGTGAGTTCCTCTCATCCTCCCTCGGCCGCTGGCAGAACCGCGGCTCCAACCCTGATCGCGCCCTTATCCTCGCCTTCAAGACCATCGCCACCATGTCCGACAGGTCACTCCCTAGGGTTCCAATCCAGATCCCCATTTTATACTATACTTTTCACTTTTAATGTTACTCAAAAAATCAATTTAATAAATAAACACATAAACCCAGAACGTGAAGTGTCATATCAATTCTCGGGGAATTTGAATCGTATCAGGCGTGATCCTTGCCCTCTTATGAGGACTAATGTCGCTTTGCATTTTATTGTTGTATTTTTTTTTTTAAAATAATGATTACCTTTTCTTTTGGCTGTGTTTATGTATTTATTGTGAAATGTGATTGTATGTAATGTTTATGATTGAGTGATTGGCTTATGTGGTTGCTGATTTTGCAGGTTGGGACTGGTTGCGACCATCAAGGTATGTTGTGTTCTCGTTTACAGTTTTTTTTTTCTTTTTTTTTGTTTCTCTTTTGAGTTTTTGGGTTATTACTGTTACCTCACGAGTTCTCGAAGCAAGATTCTTGAAACCGCGTACATTTTTGTGTCTAATGGCCATATACAAAATTTGAAGTTCTTTTGAGAGTTTTCGGAAGCTTCTCTATTAGAAAAGTTATACATTTTTAACTTGTATCCAAATAGGCCTTAATGCATATCTGTTCGTTGTTGTATTCAATGGGATTTTGTGTCAATGTAAGTGTTAATTGAACACTCTTATTTTGATAAGATTTGCCCCGATTTTTAGTGAAGTAAGCTAAAAGAGATGACAGGAGAGTCATGAAACTATATATATTTGTATATTCACTGCATGATTTTTGTGATTTGGATTTGATCTTGTTTCTCGAATGGAAAATTTACTGAAGTTGTATTGTATCCAAATCAATGACATGTCAAATTTGTGTGGAGATTAGGACAGTCATTGCGCATGGAAGGTACTGTGCTGTAGTTGTGTGGCTGTAATTTTTTAAGACAGTTCTGGTTAAACAATAAGCAGTTGCATTATTTATGAGGACATTAATTTGCAGTCTTCATTTTATCTGTCTGGTTTGATTACATAACAAGTTTCATTAACTTGTGAATATCTTTATGCACTGCATATGATCATTGCTGTTAGTTTAGTTAGGCCTTTAGCCTTGCTAGCTCAAATTCAAATGCAAAGTTTATTGAAACCTTGAAATTGTTCTAATTACCTATTGTGTTACCTGGTATGGTATTACATTGTAATGGTACGCATACGGTGTTTTTTTTTTTTTTTTTCTTTGGCCTTCTGTAATGCCCTGGAGAAATTGTGATCAGTTTAGTAGAATGCTATTAGGAAGCATTAAAATGTTCAGTATCTATATTCGGTTTAGGTGCTGCCCCTTTACCGAGGCCAATGCACCTGACACTTTGGAAAGACATCTTGTCAGACAAGGTATACGATCATTAGTAGAAACTAAATTCCAAATATATGGGATTGAGATCAATACCTCCTTCCTTCCAAAGCCAAATGCATGGAACCTGTGGAGTGTAAGGGCTAATTTTATATTTAAACCTAAATTTATAAACACCGCATTTTTCTCATTGTAGTGTTTAGTGCTCAGTGAGATGTGTGATTTTTTTCTCTTGCCTTGAGGTATTAAAACCTTCTAGACAAGGGAATTTCATGTCCACCTTGTTCATGATACTAGTCTTATATTTAAAACCAAAATTTTATTACTCTGAATGTTGATCATGAGTTGTTTAAAAATATGGCCGACTGCTTTCTTCTCTTTATAGTGAACACCTTTTTCCTCAATGAGATGTGTGCTTTACTGCATCTCTTAGTTCAGGGCATTAAAACCTTCTAGGCCTGGGTCATTTCATATGCACCCTGTTCATGATGATGGATCCATGTTACAAAATTTGTGGGAGCCCAAAATAAGTTTACTTTTGTAAAATTAGTGGGTTAAAACTTAAGTGAATTCTGATTATCTGGGCTATATTTGCAAAGCAATTAGTATGTCTATCTGCAGATTGTTTTAAAGAAAGGAGTAGATAGGTTTTTGCAGTCCTCAATGTTATGTAATGCTTTGCAGAACCAAGTTTATAATCCTTTCATTGTCTCAATTTAATCTTGAAACCTCCATTTTAATTTTTCTTTTCCATCTTCTACTTTAGTTTTCATGTAAAATGAGTATATTCACTTATTTTGTTTTTTTCCAATTGATTTATAGGATCGGGCTAATGAGATATATAAGAGGGTTGAAGATCAAAAGTCTAGTAGAGGAAGAAATCAAGATGCGTTATTGGCTGCTTGTCTCTACATTGCTTGCCGACAAGAAGACAAACCTCGGACTGTTAAGGGTACTGCTTATGATTCTTTTAACATCTGGATGCTTGCCAATTTATCTTTCTGTATGTAAATGAGCTTCCCTGAACCTATGGATTTCAACTAGAAATTTGCTCTGTTGCCAATGGGGCCACCAAGAAGGAAATTGGCCGAGCAAAAGAATACATAGTAAAACAGCTGGGTTTGGAGAATGGTCAGTCTGTGGAGATGGGTACAATACATGCTGGGGACTTTATGGTGAGTTTTCTTTATTGACTTCGTAGCTTATTATTTTTATACATGTATTTGTGGAGCTAATTCATCCGATCTTTTACTATATTTCATTTTTATTACTGACATTTCATCTCAAACATCAGAGGCGATTCTGTTCTAATCTTGGTATGAATAATCAAGCTGTTAAAGCTGCTCAGGAAGCTGTGCAGAAATCAGAAGAATTTGATATAAGGTATATTTACTTTTAGCTTCTATCATCTTAGAGTCTGTAATAGGTTGTTCACAGTTGAAATATGCTTTGTTACATTTATCCCATTACTCATTGTCACTGTTATAAATTTCTAGTAACAGCCAAGGAATTAACTTACTTTTGCTCTAAGAGGAAACTTGGTGGCTAAAGTTGACACATTAGACTGTTAGTGATACTATGAAATAAGATATCAGCTTACACTCAGGGGGTATTATAAATTATATAGATTGATTATTAGCTATGATATTAAACTTCCCTGTTTTCCATGGAGAACCAGATTCTGGTTAGATTATGTATTAGAGACTTGCAGGTTTTACCTGATGTGTGCTGCATCTGGGTGAGAAATGGAATCGAAGGAATGGGTGGATTAGTTAGAAGTGGGAACTCTCTAGGTGTCTATGCAGAAATAACACATGTTTTTGCATGATGTGGAAACACCGAAGTTATGGTGTAGCATTCATCTAGGAAGTCAAAACTGAGTTGTGTATACCATGTAGTACGTGTCAATTTGATTTGGATTTAATGAGCCAAAATAATTGTACTGCACTCTGCTTGTGTAGTTCTCTCCAACTTGTTTTAGCTTTCCCCATTTTAGAAGATCACAATTATTTTCTGATGATTGATACTAATAAAACATCTTTTTGCAATTTGTCAGGAGGAGTCCCATATCAATTGCTGCAGCAGTTATATACATCATAACTCAGCTTTCTGATGACAAGAAACCTCTTAAAGGTTTGTGACATATCACTCCTTTGAGGGTAACCTGGGGTTTGGGGGCATGGAGGTCAAACACATGTTAATGGGCTTTTTTTGTTTGTCTCTTCGATTTGCTAGGTTATGTGAAAATTTCAAATTTCAAATTAGATTTGAAAAGAGTATATTAATCCAAATTTCATGAACACGGCAATTCCAACATCTATGCTATTTCATACACGCGTCTCTGACATCTGACATGTTGTCTTAATGGCAGATATATCATTAGCCACCGGCGTAGCTGAAGGAACGATTAGGAACTCCTACAAGGATCTTTACCCCCATGTTTCAAAAATAATACCAAATTGGTATGCCAAGGAGGAGGATTTAAAGAATCTTTGCAGCCCTTGAATTGTAGAGCAAAACATTACCATCCATATTTAACGAGTTAAATTTACATGTCATTAGAGCATTCTGTTTCGGATGTAACTGAACTGCTTATTAAAAATCAAAGTGTCTTTTTTTTAGTTGTTATTCTTGCCGTCGATTGCACCATTTTTTTAGACCCTCCTAATCTGAATATTCGTTGGGAGCGAGGCAACAATGTATGAATTTCTCGACTCTGGTAAAACATAGAGTTCTTTTTGCTGTCATGGCTATTTTTTGTATTTCAATGTGTACATGGTGAATCCCTTATTCTGCATCGTGTTGAAACATTTTTAGTGTTTAATTTTATTCCATGAACGGGGGAAGCTATACCTCCTAAGTAGGGATGGCAATTCATTTTGACCCATCAAATTGGGTTGATTTAGGTCTAGTCGAAAAGTTGGTTGGTTTAGGTTGAATTTCCAGCCTTCGTTCGGCAATATTCCGTAGGGCATAGTGAGGGGGAGCTCATCGATTTGAATCCACTGTATGAAGGATTTTGTGTAGCGTTACGAGCGTTCCGCCTGAACTCTATGGTAGCACAATCCATTGGAACCTCAGACGGGGTTTAGAGTTTAGAGGGACAACATCTTCATGTGTCGGGGTGAATTACCCAAGAACTAACGAATTTGAGTAATAACAAAAGCATCTCTAATTGTGGCAGAGAATACACATAAAATTTGAAACACTGATTGAAGAAAAATAATCACTTTTTGGTTTTGAAATTCTCCCTCTATTCTTTGCATCTGCATTTCTCATAAATTTTCTTGCTATTTATATAGGTTGTTTCTTCCTACTCCTAAGTTTTTTTATAAAAAGTTTCTATTTTATCCTTCATTAAAACAAGTTTCTTCTTTAAAATGAAATTCAATGGGATTCACAGAAATTATGTAGTACTTAAATCAATCAAAATTTCTTTTTCATTTAAATAATATATGTAATATTCACAAATATTAATTTTTTATTTTAAAATATTTTATAATGTAATTCATAATAATTTTTGCATCCACAAATGTGTCAAATTTTATCTTTCAAGGAGATTCTTAAAATTTTATCTGGACTAGAATTAATTCGTATCATTCTTTCATTGTAATTTATGTCTTTACTAAAAAAAACAATTGTTATCGTATTTCTCAATATCACTTGTTAATATTTTTAGAACTTATTTTTCAAATTAGTTGTCATATGAAAATGTATTTTAAGTTGGATGTTCCGAAATATATTTATTGATTAGTCGTAGTAGAAATGAATTACTAATTGAATGTTTAGAATACATTTTTAGAACAATCAATTTAAAATATATTTTTAAAAGATTTAATTTAGAATACATTTCTAGTCAATCTAAAAATATATTTTGAACATTTAATTTAAAATATATTTTTGAATTGATTATTTTGAAAATATATTTTCTAAAGTGTTCTGAATTCACTTTCAGGTTCGAGCCTTCTAGATTAAGTAGTTTGAATTTTTATATATTTTTAGTCATATTTTTATCTAATAAGTACAAAATATTAATAATTTATTTTTATTTTATGGGTTAAAAACAATTTTTAATGAAGGTAAAACTACAACAAAATGAAATTATAGGAACCATAGAGGTTGAGGAGCAGAAGAGAATAAATTTACAAAATTTAATAAAAGAGTATTTCGATTATTTTATGAGTTATGGAAATACAGGAAGGTACCATTATATATTATATATGGGACATATATATCAACATTGTCCATACTCTTTGCTTCTTGCAACCTATAATTTCTACCCGCACTTCATACATTTTAAAATTTGATCATTTAAATTATTATAAAAATATAAGTTTGGAAATTAATAATCTAGAATATATAAAAATAAATTAGGTTTTTATACCAAACTTTTCGGAGTCTCGGACACAAACGCAGGTCAATACCAGCATACCGAGCACTATTGCATCTCACTCTTCAAAATATAAACTTAAATGAAAAAATAATTTTAAAATATAACAGATATAAATTATATTATAATTAAAAAATATAAGTTTTTAGAAGTTAATATGTAAAATAATTATATAAATATTTTAATATTAATAAGTATGTTAATACTTTTCTTATGATTACCACATAAAATTTTATGTCTCCAGAAAATATATATTACATTATATACGTTACAATCTAGTGATTCATTTTTCAGTATCCACCTAACCTACTCCTAACATAATTTTAAGATTGATAATTTTTAAATATTATGAAAACGGCTAAAAGCTATTATATTTTATTTTACGGATGTCAAAACCTGTATCTAAATGTATAAGTAATATTTTGTGACGATTTTGAACTGTATTATGTTAAAATGTAAATTCTCAAAAGTAATAAATTAAACCAAAACTAGAAGACAAAAAGAAAAGATTAATTTTAAAAAAATATTAAACTAAACCTTAATAAAAAAATATAAATACTAAAGAATACTACCAAGTTAGGTTTATAAATGAAAGCGCATCCAATGCAGTTGTGAACATCATTCAACCCAACAACCCAAGCAAACTACGTTGCTAAATTCGTCGCCAAAGTTGAATATTAGCTTCTAGCTACCTAAATTTCTCAGATGGCTTCCAATGGAAAAATCCTTCCTCATCAAGCCCAAGTGGTGGTGGTTCTCATACCCTTCCCTGCACAAGGCCATCTCAACCAGCTTCTGCACCTCTCAAGCCTTATCTTATCACACAACATACCAGTTCATTATGTTGGAACTGTCACACACATTCGCCAAGCCACACTTCGACACCACAAATCCATTTCTAACATCCATTTCCATGCCTTTGAAGTTCCACCCTTTGTTTCCCCTCCTCCAAACCCAAACAATTCAGAGACTGATTTTCCATCTCATCTAATTCCCTCCTTTGAGGCCTCTACACATCTTCGGGAGCCTGTCAGAAGCCTGCTTCAATCCCTCTCCTCTCAAGCCAAAAGGGTCATAGTCATCCATGACTCTGCCATGGCCTCAGTGGCACACGATACCACAAACATGCTTAATGTTGAGAATTACACTTTTCACAGCACATGTGCCTTTACCATCTACGTTTTCATTTGGGAGAAAATGGGAAGGCCTTCAGTTGAAGCCATGCACGCCCTAAAACTTCCTTCTCCGGAAGGATGCTTCCCAACCCAATTCTTGGATTTCATGATTGTACAAAGGGATTTCCGCAAATTCAGTGATGGAAACATCTACAACACGAACAGGGAAATTGATGGTCATTACATTGATTTGCTGGAACATATCAGTGGCGGCAAGAAGGTTTGGGCACTGGGGCCATTCAACCCTTTAGCCATTGAGAAGAAAGATTCAATAGGATCCAGGCACTCATGCATGGAGTGGCTTGATAAACAAGAGCCAAGTTCAGTCATATATGTGTCCTTTGGGACCACAACAACTTGGACGGAGGAACAAATCCAACAGATAGCCATTGGGTTGGAACAAAGCAAGCAGAAGTTCATCTGGGTGCTGAGGGATGCTGATAAAGGGGATATCTTTGATGGAAATGAAGCAAAAAGGCATGAGCTTTCAAATGGGTTTGAGGAGAGAGTTAAAGGGTTGGGGCTAGTTGTAAGGGATTGGGCACCCCAATTGGAAATTCTTAGCCACACTTCAACAGGGGGGTTTATGAGTCACTGTGGATGGAACTCCTGCTTAGAGAGCATAACCATGGGGGTGCCAATAGCAGCATGGCCCATGCACTCTGACCAGCCGATAAATGCAGTTTTGATCACAGAGGTGCTCAAGGTTGGTTTGGTTGTGAAGGATTGGGCACAGAGGAGTTCCTTGGTTAGTGCTTCAGCTGTTGAAAATGGTGTGAGAAGGTTGATGGAAACAAAGGAAGGTGATGAAATGAGAGAGAGAGCTGCGACACTTAAAAATGGCATCCATAGGTCCATGGAAGAAGGTGGAGTTTCTCGCATGGAGATGGATTCTTTCATTGCTCATATCACTAAATAATCTTATCAATTGAATTAGTGTGGTTCAATGTTGAATATAGCAGAATTTGTTGACAGTTCATGAAGATAACACAAACTAGGTTTGGCATGAAAATGCACGCATATTTCTCTTTCTCAAGACATAATGTTCTTGATTGGATATGCATGTGCTAGGCCATGTTGCAGGTTGTTTTAATTCCAGAGAAACAATAATGTTGTAGTTCATGAATTTGCAAGTTGTAGTTTTTTATTAAATGAACACATATGATAGTTTACAATTATTACTCAATTTTAGGGAGGATGAAAATTACATTTTAGATAAAAGAGTGTAATTTTTATATATTTTCTCTAGTTTTACTTTTTTTTATATTGATTTGATGGAAACAAGTATTATTCTTGTCGACCATTGTCGACAGTTGGGATGTTCTCAAGTTGAAATAATTTAACTGATCGAGACAAAAAAAAACCATGTTTTCACTGTGAAGTAGTGATGGAGATGTAGAAAAGAAGGATGAGTCCTCTCTCCCACTCACGAGTCAAAATAGGCAACTTGTTCTTTATTTGGACTGAGTCACTGTTTTTATTACTTTCTTCATGAAAAACATAATCATTTAGGTCATATACTTTTCACATAAAACTATACATTTTAAATTCCACATAAATAAACTTTATATGTTTTGGTTCTTACAATCAGTTTTATGGTTGCTGGATTTTCCTTTTTATTATTTTTTGGGATAGCAAAAACTCTCCTTTTACATTATTGGTTTAATTTGTAGATAAAATTATATTTTTAATTACAACTTTATATTTAAAATGAAGATTCATCCATTTAATTAAGAAACACAACAATCATATACTTATATGTTAGTTCCGTATGTTGTTAGTTTTGTCACAGTTTCATTTAATAAACATAAGTTTGAACTTTGCTCCAAAGACATTACTCAAGAATTTTCCATTCTTAAAATTATCTTCATTTTAGCTTATATAACATTTCTAAACCCCCTAACACGTACCTTTTGCATTTCCTTAATAATATTAAGTTAATATTCCTTACATCCTTAATACCAACTCCAACCCTCCTTCTCCCTACGTATTAACCAATGAATTGTCACCCTGCCCTTTTCCTAACCCTAAAAAAAAACTACTTATTTGATGGACTCTTTCTTACTTTTATTCTTTTAATTTTTTTTCTTCATTTCCCTTATTATTATTATTATTATTATTATATATATATATATATATATATATATATATATATATATAGTTTTTAATTTTACTAGTAGGTTGGACCGAGTTCGAATAAACATAACACTCAATCCAATATATAAAAAAAAATCTCATAGAGTTTGATCAATTGGATTAGAAGTTTTAAGAAATAATTTTTAATTAAAATTTGTAGTTTAAAACCATTTTTATTTAAGGTTTTTTTGTAATAACTTCTATAAAAAAAGGTATACTACACTATTCAATAATTTTATATCTAGAAAATATATTTAATTAATAGACTAATTGCCAAAAAAAAAAAAATACACCGAAAAGAATCCTAACTAACTCATTTAACTTATAAAAAAAATTATAATTGATGTTATGCGAAAAATAACTATCACTAATAAGGTTTTCACGTTTGTCATTTTGCCTTTTATTTATATATATATATATATATATATATATATATATATATATATATATATATATATATATATTAGATATGAGTCTGACATTAATAGAAAGACATAAATTTACATGTTAGTTACGTGGAAAACCGATATCAATTTATGTTTAAAAAAAGTATGAAACAAATGTAAAAGAGTTTAAAAAATAAAAAAAGGACAAAATTTATATCAAATGTGTCAATACTCGATATAAATTTACGTCGAACCAGGTATAACCGACGTAAATTTATGTCGCATAAATTTACATTTGCTATTGTCTAGTTCGACATAAATTTACGTCGGGCATTAACACACTCGACATAAAATTCGTTTTGTTTAATATTTGGTTTATTTTTCCTTACAAACAACACCTGCAAACATTTTTTAATAATATATAGTCCAGATCCCAAATTTTCAATAGACAATAATTCAAAAATACAATATAATACAAATCATAAAAACTAAAGTAGTACAAATACTAAACTACTTAAAAGATAAACATTACAAAACTAAATTAATACAAAGTCTAAACTAGTACAAAAAACTAAGTTACCTAAATGCTAAACTACATAATACAATACAATATAATACAAACAATAACTTACAAACTAAGTACTAAAAATGTTAAATGTAAAACCTTGTTTATTGTTTTCTAATTTGTATAATATCATTTTTTGATAGAGAAGATGAATCTTGAAATAGTTAAAACATTAATTTAACTTATATTAACATATAATACGCATAAAGATAAATCAACTTAACAATATTGAAAGCAATTACTTTCGTTCAGGAATAAGTTATACTTGCACAAATTATGACTCTCATCCAATACATGATATAGTAGTCACATGCAAAGGAATATGTTTGCTTATTACATTTAATTGAGAAACAAAATATAATGTTATTTTTAAAATTTAAATACAAATAATAATTGTGATGTTTATTTATATAAATAAGTTTTTAACCTTATGATAAATGAAATACAAATTTTTTATTCTGGGTCTTCCACTTACAACCTTAGTTTCATACATGATTCTAATTAAAATAAAATCAAATATTATTCAATATATATCTACCCTTTAAAAACATAATTAATGAAAAGAAGATAAAGTTACCTTGTAACATGATTTTCATTTCTTGACATAATTGAGATGTATAATATTTCTCCATGTCCATATTATATAACTCTTAATAATATCATAGACAAACAAGTAATCACGTGTATCCTTAAGTTCATAACGAATTTGATATAAATAACGAACACATGGACAATAATATGTCCCTTTGATAGGTTTTCCATTTTCACAAACAAATTTCAAAAGTTTCCAAACTCCCTTTTCGTACTCTTCACTAATACGATATGTATTCATTTAACTTCGATCCATATTTACCTATATTATAAACTTTCGTCATTCCTAGATATTCAAACACAAATTCATATTTAAAAAAAAATAATATACAAAAAATGTAGGATTCAAACAACTAAACTGTGAAAATATAAAAATAGAATGTATAAATCGTAAATGCACTCAAACGATGAATAATCACAAACTATAACATTTCAATTTCAATAACAATTCAGTGAAGACATTAATGTAATAACATGATTGAGATCTCCAAAAACAATCACAGATTCAATGTGAACATAAAAGAGGAGATATAGAACACTAACATCAAATATACAAAAAAATGCTCTAAAATTCGAATTCAATCGAGAAGACACGTTAACCACCACAAATGAGATACAATATAAGTTTTTTTCGTTACTCACTGTGGTCGAAATGTACCCTAACAATCATTGTCACTTGAAAATCCCTGCATGTGGGAGGAAGAAAAAACTCTAATAAAAATAAAATGCGATTTTTACAAAAATATCATCGTATTTTTTTTTTTAACCGGTTATTTTTGAACCAACTTGAATGACATAAAAAAGTCATTTCTACGCTAGTATAGAGGAAAAATGTATTTGAATTTAAAAAAAAATCACAATTAAACCTAATTTATATTTTTTAACAAATATTCTCTATCAACTTTGATTTAAAAATTTTATTGACTGATATTATAGTAGAAAAACTAATGTTAAATTGTTAACATATAATTAAGATTAAATTGACCATATCTCGATTAAAAACAAGTAAAAGCTATCTTAATTAATATAAATATGATAATATTCCAATTAAAATCGAATTAATAATGTAGTGGTTAAGACTATGCCGGTGGTGCCTACCGAGTTTAAGTCAATATTGTTGAACTGAGTCAAAAAGAGAGTTTGAAGAAAAAAAAAAATTTAAAATTTTTACTTTTAAATTAAATTTAAAATTTTAAAATAATCAAATTATTCTTCTGAAATTATAAAATTTCATTTTTTTTAATTATATATCTAAGCCATATATCTTATCGTGAAATATTAAAAAAATTATAAAAAGTAAATTACCTCGTTAAAATTTCACATCCAAAAAATTGTTATGAATTTGAATAAGATGGTTCGACGAAGTTATATTTATACATCTGCTTAATCAATGTACCATATATATATATATATATTTTTTTAATTTTAAACCTTTAAATATCAATCAATTAATCATAATTTATTAAAAATATTAATTGAATAATATAAATTTAGTTTTTTTTATAAATAATTATCTTAATTTAATATTACTATTTTTCTATTTTTATTGAACGAGTTTTGTTTTAAATCATAATGTTTCAAACACTTTCATATGTTTTTAAAGGTAAACTAATCTACTTAATAACTTCAGATAAATATGTTGGATTAAGATTTTTTTGAAGTTAACATAATGAAATCTTATGAATTTTAAATAGATGGCAAGAATATAACAACTTGTAAGTTTTTTTATTAAAATAAGTTTTCCAATCAAAATTTTACCATTTAATATTTAATGAATTTATATAACTATAAAATGACATAATAATGATAACCTAATAGGTTGATCCAAAAGGTTTCACAAATATATTATATTTCTCAATTGCTTGAATTGAATAGAAGAAACATTTTTATAAGTATAACTGTCATAGCTAACAGTATTGGTTTGAAATCTTACAACATTCCCCCTCAAACCAAACTAGATACTTCTACAATACAAATATTTTTCCTCAAAAAGTTGAACCTTGTATGCTTCAAGGCTTTAGTCAGAATATCAACAAATTGTATTTCTGACCTACAATGCTCCACTACTATCTTATCATTAGATATTTGTTCTCTAATATAATGAAACTTTGCTTCAATATGTTTACTCCTCCCGTGAGATGCAATGTGTTTTGCTAAGTTTATGGCAGATTGATTGTCAACCAGTAATCTCAGCTTACACCTTTGATTTATTCCCAATTCTTTCAACAGGAACACAACCAAATTGCTTGCCAAGCAGCTTCAGATGCTGTAATATATTCAGTTTCACATGATGAGAGTGTCACTATTGATTCCTTGGTAGAGCTCCAAGAGATAGGTGTCTTTCCGAAGAAGAAAACATAGCCAGCAGTGCTCCTCCTATCAATTTTGTCACCACACCAATCCGCATCAGAGTAACCAATCAACTCTTCATCCCCTTCTGACAGCAGCACCCCGTAATTCTCAGTCCCGTGTAGATACCTCATGATACTTTTTACAGTTACTAAATGTGAAACTTTAGGATCTTGCATGTATCTACTAACAACTCCAACACTAAAACTTAGATTTAGGCGAGTGTTACACAAATATCTCTCAGGCTTCCAACAATGCTTCTATATATTACAAGGTCTACTCCTTCTTCCTTTGAACTGTGCTCCAATTTCACACCAATTTCAGCAGGTGTGATAGTAGCATTACTCTGCTGCTTACTAAACTTCTTCAATAGGTCCCGAGCATACTTTGTTTGATGCATGGCCACTCCAGATGATGTTCGTGTGAATTCAATGCAGAGGAAATAGTTTAACTTTCCAAGGCCATTCATCTCAAATTCCTTCATCAACTCAGTTTTGTATGACTCGATGCACTTCTCATTGCTGCCAGTAATCAAGAGATCATCAACATACAAACATACGATGATTCTGCTGCCTTCAGTCCTTTTCACATACACTCTATGTTCTGATATGCACTTCACGAACCCAATTCCCTCGAGAAATTTGTCAATCCATTTATTTCAAACTCTTGGAGCTTGTTTTAACCCATATAAGACCTTCTTTAGCCTATATACTTTGTGTTTATCATTCTCCTGCACAAAGCCAATGGGCTGCTGAACATACACTTCTTCTTCTAAGGGGTTATTCAAAAAGGTATATTTTACATCCAATTGATGCAAACTCCAGTCTTCGTTTGTTGCCAAGGTCACTACCAATCTGACAGTTTCAATTCTAGCTACTGGTGCATAGACCTCTCCATAGTCTATCCCAACCTTCTGTAGGAAACCTTTGGCCACGAGCCTAGCCTTGTGCCTCATGATTTCACCATCAACATTCACCTTGACCTTATAGATCCATTTGAGAGCAATAGACTTCTTATTTAGTGGTAGCTCTACCAACTCCCAGGTGTTGTTCCTCTTAATAGAGTCAATCTCCTCCTCCATAGCTCTCCACCAATGTCCATCCCTGGCTGCCTCCTCAAATGTGATCGGTTATGATTCAGCAATTAGTGCAGAATGCACTAAATTCCCGTCAGATGTTACAACTGCATCATGAGTAACATCTTAGTCTCGAAGATATGACGGAAGTTGTGATCTTCGTCCTGATTTTCTCAAGCCCAGATTAGTTGTGTCTTACTCTGTTGAATCTTCTTCTAAGACTATCTTCGATGTGTTGTTGGCTTCTGTGCTTGCCACCGTCCAGTCCCAGCTATATGACTCGTTGACATACACATCTCTACTGGTGGACACGTGCTCTGAATTAGGGTCATACAATTTGTAGCCACCTATCTCATTGTAGCCAATCAACACTTGGGGTGTGCTCTTATCATCCAACTTCCTTCTTAAAGGTTCAGGGACGTGTTTGTAGCATAGGGACCCAAAAATCTTGAGGTGTGAAACGTCAGGTTTGACACCTGTCCAAGCTTCCTCAGGGGTCATCAACTTCAGCCTTTTCGTTGGTGATCTGTTCAACACATATGTTGTTGCACTTGATGCCTCACCCCATAAGAAATTTGACACTTTCTTAGTTTTCAGCATATACCTAACCATGTTAAGTAGGGTCTTATTTCTTCTTTCTGCAGCCCCATTATGCTAAGGAGTATAGGGAGGAGTGAACTCATGAACAATCCCTTCACTTTCACAAAATCAACCAAATTTTGTTGCAGTATATTCCCCTCCTTCATCAGATCTTAGGATCTTGATATTACTCTCACTCTGCCGTTCCACCATACTTTTAAACTTTCTAAACACCGACAACACCTCACCTTCCTTTTAATTAGATAGATCCACATTTTCTTAGTGAAATCATCTATGAAGGTGAGAATATACTTGTTCCCACTGGAGTCTCCACTTGCATTGGACTACAAACATTTGAGTAGACCACCCCTAGCTTCTCAGTAGCTTTCGTAGGAATGAACTTCTTGAACTTGGGTCTGGTCTATTTGCATTGTATACATTCTTTGCAAACCTCTTCTGGAATCTTGATTGGTGGAAGCCCTTTGACTATCTTCTTCTCACTTAGATGAACCAAGTGTTGGAAATTCAGATGTCTGAATCTGTTGTGCCATATCCACTCGTCTTTGTTCACTGTTGTGGCAAAGCACTGATGCCTTCGAGTATTCATTGCAACGCGAAAAGTTATGTTCTCAGATAGATCTGCATGAATAACCAGCCTTTTTAATTGATCGTAAACACTCAAACCATTCTCCTTCATCTCCATGACAAAGCCTTTCTGCAATAGTTGCCCAAGGCTAAGTAGGTTTGTCTTTAAACCTGACACATATAGCACACCATCAATAACCACTTCTCTATCATCTGAGTCTCTCAACACCACACAGCCAACACCTTCTGAAGTTAAGTTGTTGTCATCTGCAAATCGAATCTTACCATAGGAGGTATCATCAATCTTAATGAATCAATCTCTTCTACCTTTCACGTGTGTGGAACATCCAGAATCTAGGTACCATGAGGATTTCTCATCTACATTAACATCACTTGTCTTGACCATCAACATCACAACATCTGAGTCAGAAGAGGCCACCTCATCTTTAGCCAAATTAGCTTGATTCTTGGGTTTGTTCTTGGCACCTTCACCCGTCCAACACTCTCGTGCAAAATGGCCAAGTTTATGATAGTATGGCACCTAATCTTTTTCTTATCAAATTTCCAGTCATTCTCGCCACTACCACCAGAGTTTGTATTCCTTTGATGTTTCCCTTTCACGGAATTTGCAGAGTCTTCTTGTGTCGTATACTTCTTCCAGTGCTTTCATCCTTTCTTGAAACCTTTGGAATTTGTTATGTAATTTCTTCTAGCCTGCAACGCTTGTTCTTGACAGTGTTTTCAATCATCCATTCTATACTCATGTGCTTCCAGAGAATGTTGGAGTTCCTCAATCTCCAATGTCTCAAGATTCTTTGTTTCCTCAATAGTTACCACTAAGTGATCAAATTTAGGAAGAAGTGACCTTAATACCTTGTGTATCACATGTTGTTCTGATACTTTATCACCATAAGATTTCATCGCATTCACCAGTTCCTGAATCTTATTAAGGTATTGAGCCAGTGTCTCGCTTTCTTCCATCATCAAAAACTCAAACTTCCTCCTTAATGCTTGCAGCTTCACTTTCTTATGCTTATCACCATCACCATACGTCTTTATCAATATTTTCCAAGCCTCTTTTGTTGTCTCAGCTTGTGAAATCTCGTTAAAGATTTGTGAATTTACACATTGGTACAGCAAGAACCGTGCTTTGCCGTCCAATTTCTGCTGCAGCTTATAATTCCTTTTGTCTTCCTCTATAGCTTTGCTGCTAAGCTCTCCAGGGCCAGTTTCAATCACTTCTGCCACGTCTTGGAACTGAAACACAACCTTCATTTTTATCTTCCAATCATCAAACATCTTGCCATCAAAGATTGGCAAACCTCCCTGTATGATGCTTCCACTCCCAGCCATCTTGATTCTGAAACTCCTAAGAACTCTGCTCAAGTCTTAATACCTTCACCCTTTCTTGGTATTCTTGAAGATTGTGCTACCTTCACTGCCATGCACCACACTGCGACGCTGCTTCTTACACGATCGAACAACACCGTTCCTTCTATCACACATGCGACCTATGCTCCTAATACCATGTTCAAATCTGAATAAAAAACAATGTAACAGTAAAGTAGAACATAAACAAAATGAGAAACTAATAATGTGAGACAAAATGGGATATATTTCTCAATTACTTGAATTGAATAGAAGAAACGTATTTAGACAAAACAGTATAACGGTCATAACTAACAGATATAACAGAAACTATTATTGGTTTGACATCTTACAATATTAGACAAAAGAATTTATAATTTAAATTGAATCATACTTATCTTATTCTGATTTGGTTTATATAACTTAAGTCAGGTTTATTAAGCCTATAAATCTACTTATTTTATAGAATTATTATAAATTATAAATTTATTTTAAATAAAATAAAATAAAAATATTATTTTATTTATAAATTATTTTTATTTTTATTTAATTAATTAATTTTGTATAGTTATGTTAATATATTTTTTCTAAATGATTCAACCAAACCAAAATTAATCTAATAGTAGTAGGATGACCTTATATGAGATCAATCAATATTAAAATTTATGATCTCTAAATGCAACTTTTCACAATAGAACAAATGAGTACCACCATATCATGGCAGCACCTTTGGCATATTAATACCCACCACAGAATTAATAAGATCAAGTGGATGCATTGCATAATCAATTTATTTTTGTTAATTAAATAAACACAGAAGATGCAACAGCTTCCATTATCAATCACCTAAAACATTAACTCAATAATCCATCTAAAAACAACAAAGTCGGAAGGAAAATTCCATTACGTAATCATTAAAAAAAAAAATACAACTAAAAAACACGAGGCCGGCCAGTGGGGGTGACATCGATGGAGAAGGTAGAAACACTTATTCAAATTTAACATGTCAGACTTTTTTGTTTTTTGTTTTTTAATTTGTTTCAACTCTATTTAAAAAAAATACGAAACTCATTTAATTTACATATTAACAAATTTAGACATTAAAAATAATAAAAAAATATTTTTTACAAAATGAGTTGAATTTTTCTTATTACTATAAGACTCATAAATCCTATCTATCAAAAGTTTTAATGACTTTTTACTTTCTGTGTTACGATTAATTGTTTATAAACACATTTCGATATTTAAGTAAAAATAATAATAAATACCACAATAAAAATGTAAAAGAATCATAGATAATATATTTCTTAAAATACTATTTATAATATTTTAAATGAATATAATCTTTATTTATATTCAAATTTCTCTAATCATTATTATACTTATCATAATGAAAAATGTATCATGTTTAACCGCACTTCGTATTTATATTTGTGCGTATTTATGAATAACAAAAATATTATAAATATATAATTAAAATTTTTATTTAAGTAACTTGCTCTCTTTCTAACGGTTCTTTATTTAATTCATGAATAATAAAACATATTATTTATTTAAAATAATCTATAATTTTATTTTAGATATTTTTAAATTTTTTTATATTTTAACATCAAAATAAAATATTATGCTAAAATAATTAACTAATTTATAGCAAATAAAAAAATTATATTAACATTTTATATTTTTATATTATATTATAATAATAAATAAAAATAAATTTATTTACTAATTTTTATTAAAAATAATATCATGAAATATCTCTTTTAATTTTAAAACTTTGTCATATACTTTCTTGAACATAAGATAAAAAAATTAAATAACTAAAAAATAAAAATTATAATTTGTTATGTTGTAAAGATGAAAAATTTAAAAACTAAAAAAAATTGTTATAAGATAAAATCGCGTGAGAAAAGAACATGAAAATAAACTAATAATACAAATAAAAGATAGAAATATGAAAAAAATTAAAATAAATAAAATAATAAGAAAAAAATAAAAATTAAAAAAAATTATATAACAAAATAAATATAATATTTATTATAAATGAAAAATTAAGAGAAGAAAATAAATTTTATTTATATTTATAAAATAACATTTTTTATTTAAAAAAAAATTATTATTATTATAATATATATATATATATATATATATATATATATATATATATATATTAATGATTTTGGATTAGGGGTGGGGGGACTGGCCCTGCAGCCCTCCGTGCTGACTATCCTTTTGTTTATATATTACCTAGTTGAAGCGTAGCATCTATGGCTTTGAATAACAATGACATTCTTCATGAAACCAAAGTTGAGGTGCTTCTGCTACCTTTCCCCGCACAAGGCCACCTCAACCAGCTTCTGCACCTCTCACACCTAATCTTGGCACACAATATACCAGTCCATTATGTTGGCACTGTCACACACATTCGCCAAGCAACACTTCGACACCACAACTCTACTTCAAATATTCATTTCCATGCCTTTGAAGTTCCACCCTTTGTTTCCCCTCCCCCAAACCCAAACAATTCAGAAACTGATTTCCCATCTCATTTGATTCCTTCCTTTGAGGCCTCTACACATCTTCGGGACCCTGTAGGGAAACTTCTTCAATCTCTCTCATCTCATGCCAGGAGGGTCATAGTCATCCATGACTCCCTCATGGCATCAGTAGCACAAGATGCCACAGACATGCCTAATGTTGAGAATTACACTTTCCACAGCACATGTGCCTTTACCACCTTCGCTTTCTTTTGGGAGCGATTGGGAAGGCCTTCACTTGAAGGTTTCCGCGTCCCAGAAATTCCTTCTCTTGAAGGAAGCTTCCCGATCAAATTCATTGAATTCATTGTTGCACAATATGAATTACAAAAATTCAACGATGGAAACATTTACAACACAAGCAGGGCCATTGAGAATCCTTATATTGAGTTCATGGAGCATATCAGTGGTGGCAGGAAGGTTTGGGCACTGGGGCCATTCAACCCTTTAGCCATTGAGAAGAAAGATTCAATAGGATTCAGGCACTCATGCATGGAGTGGCTTGATAAACAAGAGCCAAGTTCAGTCATATATGTGTCCTTTGGGACCACAACAACTTTGACGGAGGAACAAATCCAACAGATAGAAACTGGGTTGGAACAAAGCAAGCAGAAGTTCATCTGGGTGCTGAGAGATGCTGATAAAGGGGACATCTTTGATGGAAATGAAGCAAAAAGGCATGAGCTTTCAAATGGGTTTGAGGAGAGAGTTAAAGGGATGGGGCTAGTTGTGAGGGATTGGGCACCCCAATTGGAAATTCTGAGCCACACTTCAACAGGGGGGTTTATGAGTCACTGTGGATGGAACTCCTGCTTAGAGAGCATAACCATGGGGGTACCAATAGCAGCATGGCCCATGCACTCTGATCAGCCGAGGAATGCAGTTTTGATCACAGAGGTGCTCAAGGTTGGTTTGGTTGTGAAGGATTGGGCACAGAGGAATTCCTTGGTTAGTGCTTCAACTGTTGAAAATGGTGTGAGAAGGTTGATGGAAACAAAGGAAGGTGATGAAATGAGAGAGAGAGCAGTGAAGCTTAAAAATGGCATCCAGAGGTCTATGGAAGAAGGTGGAGTTTCTCGCATGGAGATGGGTTGTTTCATTGCTCATATCACCAAATAATGTTATCATTTGATATTATCATATTAGTGTTGTTAGTAGTTGATTCTGGTAAAACTTGTTCAGGTACAAATTTCCCTTCCTGATGCAATGATCCACTAAGTGTTTTTATTTTCAAAAGAAATAATCGTCCCTTCAACAACCCAGATTAGATCAGACTAATCTATTAGATTATTTTTTTAATTTGATCCATAGGATCTGTTTAAACCAGACTAGATCGTTGTCTTGATAACTCTAGTGATGACAAAGAATAAAAAAAAACAAATAATTTTTTTTACATTATATTTATATGAGATATTAACAAAAAAAAAAACATATATTGAAGATTTGTTTATGTTATAATAACCACGATGGAATTTTATTGATCTAAACAATAAATCTATGTATTATTTAATTATCAATTGTCGTTGAGAAGTTGCATAGATAAAGTTTCTCCAATTTCAGCTTTTCGGGGGAGATGTATATGTAAATTAAGTGGAACAAAAACATCTTCAACAAGTTTTCAAAATGACATAAATGTTCCTTCATTTTTTTATATTTTATATTATCTTAATCTTATACTTTATGTTTATATTTAATACTTTTTATTTTATATTCAATATTTGATAATTTATACTTTGTTTTTAATACTATGTACTTTAATTTTCATAACTTATATTTAATACTTCAGACTTTGTTATACTTACTCATCTGAACTTTTCACTTTACAGCTTTAAAATAAGACATTTTCCGATAAATTCTTGAGTACAATAAAGTCTTACCCATACATGTTCATCCTTGTTCTACCAACCTAAGCATTAGCTAGAATTGCTAGCTCCAGTGCCAAAGTTAAAGAACCCAAATTCCTCAATGCTTTGAATGAGAAAAGCATTCCTCGTGAAACCAAAGTGGTGGTGATTTACGGAGAAAACTTTATAACTTTTAGGTTTTATTTTGAACGTAATGTTAATCTTTGACTCATGTCACATTGATTGGTAGTGAGCATCATGGAAAGGGATATAATGGACTCATAAATGATGATGGAGAGATCCTTTGAAAAATTCAAGTGAGTCGAAGTTGAAGAATATATAAGAAATAAAGAAACCAAAGTCGATTAAACTCATGTCTAATCGGAATGCTCTCTCCGATTGAACCCCCTCTCAACACACCCACTAATACCTTCCCCGCACAAGGCCACCTCATCCAGCTTCACTACAAAAAAAAAGCCTATTACCTATGGAATATTACCTACGGATACAAATCCGTAGGTAAATTTTACATTACCTATGAATATTATCCACGGATAAAAATCCGTATACCTACAGATATTACCCACGGATAAAAATCCGTAAGTAAATTTTACATTACCTACATATATTACTTACGGAATTCTATCCGTAGGTAATTATCCATTACCTACGGATTTACTATGCGTAGGTAAAGTGTACATTACCTACTGATATTACCAACGGATATTATCCGTAGGTAATATCATCCGTGGGTAATTTCGTAGGTAATTACCTACGGAATTACTATCCGTAGGTAAATTATATTAAACTAAAAGAATTGTCACTAGCAGAATCGAACCAGTACCTTAAAGTTGAAAGCTGATACTTCAACCACTAAACTATTAGGATATTCTAATAATAATTTACAACAAAATTATACTTATATTAATTCGTGTAAATATATAAATATATAAATATATAAATATATAAATATAAAATATATAAATATATAAATATATAAATATATAAATATATAAATATATAAATATATAAATATATAAATATATAAATATATAAATATATAAATATATAAATATATAAATATATAAATATATAAATATATAAATATATAAATATATAAATATATAAATATATAAATATAAAATATATAAATATATAAATATATAAATATAAAATATATAAATATATAAATATATAAATATATAAATATATAAATATATAAATATAAAATATAAAATATGCAAATATATAAATATACAAATATATAAATATATAAATATACAAATATATAAATACATAAATATATAAATATATAAATACATAAATACATAAATACATAAATACATAAATACATAAATACATAAATATATAAATATATAAATATATAAATATTTAAATATTTAAATATTTAAATATTTAAATATATAAATATATAAATATTTAAATATATAAATATATAAATATAAATATATAAATACAAATATATAAATGTATAAATATATAAATATATCAAAATATAAATATATTTTATATTTATATATTTTATATTTATATATTTACACGGATAAATATAAATATAATTTATT